CCTTTTTTTTTTTTTCCCCTTTCTTCTTTATTTATTTAAATTCTAGTTAGTTAACATACAGTGTAGTCTCGGCTTCAGGAGTAGAACCCAGTGATTCATCTCTTACAATGACACCCAGGGCTCATCACAAGTGCCCTCCTCAACGCCCATCCCCCAGCTACTCCCTCCCCTCCCCTCCCCTCCTGCTTGTTCTTGGTATTTAAGAGTCTCTCACAGTTTGCCTCCTTTTATTTTTATCTCACGTTTCCTTCCCTTCCCCTACGTTCATCTGAATCTTGAGTACGTTTTAAACCTGATTTACAGGACACCAGTGTCTTGGTCTGTTCCGGCTGCCAGGACAGAACACCATACGCTGCGTGGCTTACAAACAACAGAAATTTATTTCCCAGAGTTCGGGAGGCTGGGAAGTCAAAGACAAAGGCTTTGGTCAAATTCAGTGTGTACTGATGGGGAGCCTGGGTGGCGCAGTTGGTTAAGCGTCCGACTTCAGCCAGGTCACGATCTCACGGTCTGTGAGTTTGAGCCCCGCGTCAGGCTCTGGGCTGATGGCTCAGAGCCTGGAGCCTGTTTCCGATTCTGTGTCTCCCTCTCTCTCTGCCCCTCCCCCGTTCATGCTCTGTCTCTCTCTGTCCCAAAAATAAATAAACATTGAAGGAAAAAAAAATTTTTATAAAAAAATTCAGTGTGTACTGAGAAGTTACTTCCTGGTTCACAGGCGGTCATGTCACTGGGTCCTCACACCGTGGGAGACAACAGTGGATCACTGGGGTCTCTCTTACAGAGGCACTAACAGCATCCGGGAGGCCTCTGCACTTAGGACTTCAGCGCCTGTCAGTATCCCCACTTCCAAGGCCCATCACATTAGGGTTCAGGTTTCAACGTTATGAATTCTGAATGGACACACACATTCAGTCTACAGCAACCAGTTCATTTTCGAAGAGTAGAAGCTTAGGAACTGCGTTCTTGGCCTCTCCCCCTTCTTTGGAAGCCAGGATGGCTAAGGGGGCCTCTACATCAGGGCCCTCAGCTTCACTGTGGTTTTTATGTTCTCACTAGCCAACCCTGGAGATACTAGTAAGGTAAGATGAACAGCATTTCCCGGCAACGTTGTCGGATAGATTTCAGGCATGAAAATTAGCTAAATTAAGAGAAGCTTAGAAAACAATATTAAGACCATCATGGATCACGTGATAGTAAGAAATTGCAAAAACAAGGTAGGAGAATACACTTGAGTCTTTTGAGTTTCAGAACAAAGCAAGAGTTGCCACTGATCAGTGAGTTTTGAAAATCACTTTTCTAGCCATTAACGGACAAGAAAATGACAAAATGACCCTAGGAAAGAGGACGGGTAAGATGAAGAGAGGAAGAGGCCGAAGTAGGGAGCAGTGCATCCCGCTTCAATTACCCCCCCCCCTTTTTTTTAGGTTTATTTACTGATGGGGGTGGGGGGACAGAGAGAGAGGGAGAGAGAATCCCAAGCAGGCTCCACAGGGTCAGCAGAGCCCGACGTGGCGCTGGAACCCACGAACTGTTAGATCATGACCTGAACCAAAGTCTGGCGTTTAACCAACTGAGCCACCTAGACTAGGCGCCCCCTTCCATTGGTCTTACCAGCACATGGAAGGAGTTAGAAGCTGAAGGAAGCTTTACAGATGCCAGCAGCGGTGGTGACTGCTCTGAGGCGAGGGCAAGAAAAGGAAACCCCCTGCTTCCGGGTCTCACAGTTAAGATTCTGAGCTGGTGAAAGGCTGCTCTGTGTGGAAGTAAGATACTACCAAAGTGGGAGAAAGGACTTGAGAGCCTAAGTTCATGGAGTGGAAAAGACTCCAAAAAGTTAGTGGCGTTTTGGACTGGTATGTCTGTGTGCACGTATAAGTGAGTGTGCAAGCATGCGGGGGACAGGAGAAATGAGATTTGGGAGAGGGAGTAATGACTAATAGGGAAGCTAACTTTGAGTGGAAGACGGCAACAAAAAAGTCGAAGATAAGGAAAACAATCTCCCAGCCACTTCCAAAGCCTTAACCAGAACAAACAAAACAAAATCAGGTGACAAGGAAATAAGGATGTGCAAATTAAATTGAAAACACGACAGTGCTGAAAAGGATTGAGCCAAACACTTGGAACTAATAATATTAAAAAGTTGTCAACCAAGGAGGTGTGGATCAGCAAACAACTTTCGCCTCATTAAGGGGCAAGGGCCTTAATTAGGCCTCTTAAGGGCCTTAATTTCGCCTAATTAAGGGCCTAATTAAGTTTCACAGAACTCAAAACATTGTCAATATTTCTCTTGGAAAATACTATCTCCTAATGTGTGTGTGTGCGGCGCCCCCCCCCCCCCCAATCCCTGAATGTATCCCAATTATTCACCAAGAAATTATTGGACAGCTCATGTCAATTAGCATAATTACATGCCGAGACACAAAATAGAATTTTAATAGTATTTAATTGAAAGGAAATGAGAACCTTAAGCTCTTAAAATACTGGGGACTTTTAAAATTCTCTTCTCCCCCTTGCATGCAGGGAACAGAGTGCCAGCAGATGGAGCTAAAAAATCTGCAAGGCCCGTCTGTTTGCTCCCTCCACGCCAGGGGGAAGTGAGAATGAAGAGTCTCGAATTTAACGGGGAATTACACCTTCAGGAAACAGAGACCGTGAATGTTTCAGGACAGAGCACTGGCAACGCAATCAAATCAAATTACACGCCTTTCAAGGTATGTTGCCTTCACCAAAGGAACACTCATAACTTTTCTGTGCTGCAAGACTTATCTTGAAAAGACTGGTCTTCAAATAATATTTCCAAGAACAGCTGGTATATATTGAAGCAGAATGCTGCCCGTTTCTCTTTAGGTGCTGGGGAAAGAGTGCCCTTATTCATCAGCAGATACACCTTTTACTTCCTCAAGGTTAAGCACGCAGATGCCATTTTTAAACAGGGATGGAAAAAGAGGCGGGACTCGACGCTCAGTAAGAAATGTTCGCGAATACAACACAGGCAAGTAGTGTTTTTAACTTACGGGAAGTACAGTTTAGGATACACCCAGTGGCTGATTCCTGGAATAAAATTAGGTATTTGTTCAAGGAGTAAATAATCACACACTTTTGAAATAGGAAGTGTAAACCTAACAGAGGCTGGGGGAAAGAGAAGCGTGGGTGTGGACGAGCAGGTTTCCAGGGAGAAACGATTCATTATCTGGGAGACAAGCCAGCGCCCGAGAGAGGCCGTTCCAAACAGCCCGATCAGGGAAACCACCACAGCGCCGCCTTTCCAAGGTTTTTTCCCTGGAATAAAGCCTTCCCTAGTCTCTTCATTCTGCCTTTTGTTTGTAAATGAAAGGCAGACGGTTTCTGGGTGCAGTCGGTTTCCCAGTTCATCAAAGGACTTGGTGGGCGAGGGGGAGCTTGGAAAAGCTTTGCCGCCTGCTCCTGCGCTCTGCAAGGCATGAGTAAAAGGTCACCTTCCTCAACAACTTAAGAAACCTAGTGTTTCCAACCCAGATGAAGAGAGTAAGTCACTTCCCCCAAAATATGTGGCAGCGAAGGGGAAGGGAAAGAAGACAATAAGCAATACGTAAAGAAAGGAAACGGGGAGGTAAAAACCGCACCTTGACCTGTAGCCAGGAGGCGCTGACGCGGGCCGCCCGACGGGTCACGGAGAGAGGACCCGGCGCCCGACGCGGTTTCACAAACGCCCCCAAATGCCTGCAATCGCAGCTCAGGAGAGTTCCACGCGAGCTCAGCTGCCCCGCCACGAGTCGCCACCTCGACCAGTGCTGAGCGACAGAAACAACAGCGAGACTTCACCCGGCCACCGAGGCCCGGGCAAGCGCAGAGAACCGCAGGAACTTTCCATTAGGCTCCTTTTTTTAACCAAGGACTGTAAGCACCGCCCCTCGCATTGATGCTGAAAACTCCGGCTGGGCTCGGTCGGAGAGCTCAGCGGGCGGATACTGTGGGTCGGCGGTGTTCCCAAACAGGTCCGACAGAGGAGTATATAAACTCCTACCCCGGCGAGTTCTAGTGTTTGTTCCGGAAACATGTCTGGACGCGGCAAGGGCGGGAAGGGCCTGGGCAAGGGGGGCGCCAAGCGCCACCGCAAGGTGCTGCGCGACAACATCCAGGGCATCACCAAGCCCGCCATCCGGCGGCTGGCCCGGCGCGGCGGCGTCAAGCGCATCTCCGGCCTCATCTACGAGGAGACCCGCGGGGTGCTCAAGGTGTTCCTGGAGAACGTGATCCGGGACGCCGTCACCTACACGGAGCACGCCAAGCGCAAGACGGTCACGGCCATGGACGTGGTGTACGCGCTCAAGCGCCAGGGCCGCACCCTCTACGGCTTCGGGGGCTAAGATGACCTTAAATCGTCGCACCTATTGTTCAAAAGGCCCTTCTAAGGGCCACCCACGAAATCTTTTAAGGAGCTGTAGACCCCTTTATTGACTTAACTGAGCGCCGTACCATGAATGCCCTTAGCTTGGGTTAGGGCCCATCAGACCTGAAACTAAAGTGTGCCTGAAATATCCGCGCGTCTCTGCACTCGGTCCCCGGTGTGTCCATCACAAAGTGGCTAAACGTCCGGTCATGCCGAGTCTTTACTGTCAAAAGCAGGTTTGTACTGAAAGCCGAACTAACTTAAACCATACATCGTCCGAGGGGCAACTGGACGATCGTGGTAAACAGCGATTCTCTTCGTCTGGGAGTTCTGGCTTAGAACGCATTGCCAGGACGTGCAAACCACGTCAGTCCCGTCAATTGACTTCATTTAAAGTAGATGCATTTTTACCAGGAATGCAATCATGACGCTTTTTAAATTCGTGAAATGCACTTTGGGATTCTCAATACAACATGGTAAGGGATGCTCATGCAACCTAGAAGTTTTTTGAAAAGGCCGACATTTTCTTTGTGCATCATCACAGAGATCGGCGGGCGAGGCGGGAAGACGCTTCCGGTCCTCAATGGATTGAACCAAGTGAATTCTGGAGGCGGGGCGAGGCTGGGCGGGGCGGGCGCCTACTGTCCAATCAGGATTCGAGGGTCGCTATAAGTACTGGGACCCGTGTCCTTGATCCCGCAGTGCTGAGTAGGTAGACCTAGTTGTCATGGCTCGCACGAAGCAGACGGCGCGCAAGTCGACGGGCGGCAAGGCCCCGCGCAAGCAGCTGGCCACCAAGGCGGCCCGCAAGAGCGCGCCCGCCACCGGCGGCGTCAAGAAGCCGCACCGCTACCGGCCCGGCACGGTGGCCCTGCGCGAGATCCGCCGCTACCAGAAGTCCACCGAGCTGCTGATCCGCAAGCTGCCGTTCCAGCGGCTGGTGCGCGAGATCGCGCAGGACTTCAAGACCGACCTGCGCTTCCAGAGCTCGGCCGTGATGGCGCTGCAGGAGGCGTGCGAGGCCTACCTGGTGGGGCTCTTCGAGGACACCAACCTGTGCGCCATCCACGCCAAGCGCGTCACCATCATGCCCAAAGACATCCAGCTGGCGCGCCGCATCCGTGGGGAGCGGGCATAAAGCTTTGTAGCGTTCTCCGTACACCCTACCCCAAAGGCTCTTTTCAGAGCCCCTCCATTGTCCCCAGAAAAGAGCTGTTAAACTTGTAGGGAATATACGGTAGGCTCGGGAACAACACGGGGCGGTTTCCAATAGCTCCTGGGCCACACCAGGCGTGTGTACCGGAAGACTGCAGGAGGTGGCTGTGCTGTGCATCGGGAGGTTTCGCACTGGCTGACCCCTCCTGGTATTTAGCACAAAGGAGCTGTTTGAATATATTGAAACGAACCAGCCATCCTAGAAATGAGCTGTTCTGGGCCACGTGAAGTGATTGAAGGAAAGAAAGTTTTAAAGTTGAGTTCAGGTTTCTGTGCATTGTGCAGTTGGCAAGAACCGCTTATTTACTTTTGCCAAGTGACTGCCAGTGCTTTTACATCAGGAATGGGCCTCAATTTGCTTCTCTTACTCGGAGACACAGAACATGTAGTACCCTCCGTGCTTAAAAAGGTTTCAACGTGATGTTTGACAGGAATAGTCTCTTCGGTTTTATCCATGTATGAGTTCTCAGGAGCTCTAAAAAGCATAAGGCATTTCCTTGTTTTAAAATTGTGCTTCTCAGTGTGAAGTTGGGTTGTGAGGATTTTTGGGTTTTTTTCAAAAGGAATCAGACGGAACTAAGATTTTAAAGCTGTTACTAGTTTCCACAAAAATAATGGGTTACCTAATAAATTTGTTGTGTCTATTAAATTTGTCCAATTACTTTTTTTTTGAAAAACCTTGTGCTTTTCACATAGGACTATAATTGTTTATTTGCTTGTTTTGATTACAAATCCTAATTCCCATGAGGTTGCAGTTTTTCTCGAGTGTTCTCAGACTGGTCAGCCATCTGGGCCTTATATTCTTTCCCATATTTGGGGTTTGCCCTTCCAGAGAGGCTGACATCCCAGCTACAGGCTCCTAAAACTTTTTGGAATGCCGGGGGAATTGACAAGAAAGACCGTTCTGGAAAAAAAAAAAAAAAAAAAAAAAAGCCATTCTGACCTGCGGGCCAGAGTCCTCTAATAGAGGAGTTTAGAAATTCTTTAGTGGCTCTTAGTTTTAGAGACTACTTGGTGTTATCTCTTACAAGCTTCAAAGATTGATTTCTCCTCACCCTTTCTAGGATTTTTCCCATCATAATAGAGCTGAGGACATATATTGCTTACAGAGCTTGTGGTCCAGGTTCAAACCTTAAAACTGCCAATGACTAGCCATATAACTTCTGGCAGGTACTCATCCTTGCCCTGGGTCTCTATAGCTGTAAACTGTGGCAAATAAGACTGTAGAGCAATCTTAGATTACTTCCTGGCACTTAGTGAATGTTCAGTGAATGTTAGCCCTTGTTAATTATGCCTCTCTTAAGCATAGAGGTTTGGGTTTCCCCCACCCTAGATCTTCTGAAAGTTTTGTGGTTGAAGTGGTGGAAAATGCTTGCTTGAAACATTTTTGTTAATATCCCTTCTTTAGTTCTTGACGTGCATTGTTCTGAAAAAAGGCAGGCTTGTAGCAATATCCCATAATCTGTGTCTGTGTGGATGAGTCCAAAACATAGCAAAATGGCCAGATAGCAAATATTCTGGCCTTTTCAGGCCAAATATTGTCTCCGGCTTTTTTTTTTTTTTCCTTAACACAATTAAAAAATCTAAAAAGCACTCTTAACTTGAGAGCAACAGAAAACGACACTGTCCGGATTTGGCCTTAAGTTGGCTACAGGTTCAACTCCAGGAGCCCTTTGGGGAGAAATACGTTGGCAACTTTAAACTTCCCTAAAGTTTGTCACAGGGAAGAACTAGGTGAGTGTTGATTGCAGTAGAGATTCTCATCATTAGACCTCCCTTCTCATCCAGGCCAGTCACAAAATCCTATCCATTCCCCACCTCACCCTCCTCCCAAACAAATAAGCAAACATATCCTCCCTCCGTTCCAACCTCAAGGTTACTGCCTCAGTTCTCTTGGATGCTAATGTATTCCTGAATTCTTCTGAACCTCTATAACTTGCAGTCCCTCAATTCCCACCCTTCTCATAGTTGATAGTCAACAATTTCTCTGAAATACAGGTCTGCCTTTGCTCAAACACACAAAAATGCCCACATTGATGTCTCCTGGCTGCTTACAGAAGAGGGTATTCCTGACAGTGTACTTTATTAAATGTTGATGGAGATATGGGGTTTGAATGAGAGCACTGGGGAGAGCACCTTGGAAACCGGACAAAGTCCCATGTCATCTGCACAGTCTGTACTTTTGAGGACTACTGGAACCCCTTGAATATTTTCAGCAGGTTTGAGTTTTTCCTAAAGCACATTATCCGGGCAGGGCAATTTTTGTACTTATTATCATGGATTTGCCTAATACTAAAGAGAGAAAGGATCTCGATAAAAACACACACACACACACACACACTCAATTTAAGTTTGAATTTGAATCCAGGTCATTGGATCCTGAAGCCAAAGTCATTCCTCTTCCTCCCGCTGCAAGGTAGACGTCATTCTGGCTACTGAACATCTCCAAGCTGCAAAAGGCATTCTCTAGAGATATTGTCACCTGCAAAATCCTAGGAAGCAGAACTGGTTTTGAAAGTGGGGTGTGTGGGGTGTATGTGGTGAATTTGGGGCTGCAGGCAACTGTCTGCGCTGCCCCTGTGTTACTTGCTACAGTTGGAAACAAAGTTTATGTCCAAACCAAGGAAACCTGGGTCTTCCTCTAGCAAAAAAATCAAAGGCCGAACCTAGGGACAAAGCTTTTGAAAAAATCTCCACTTGATAGTTCCTAGAAACTTATTGCAACTTGCAACAAACTAGCACAATGCCTTAAACCCAGTGGATATACGTGAAAAGCTGAAAAGATTTTTAAAAATATCTTTCATCTGTTGCGCAGGACTCATGAAAACACAAGCCAGCATGTGAACCTGGAGGCTGCTTTCCTCCTTTACAGCTTCAAAGCGTCAAATTCTGTACAATTATTTTCAGCATTTAACCAAATTTGGGGGGCTAACAAACACAGTTCTGGAGTCCAACCGCGAAGGGCGGCTGCCTGAGGGCAGTGGATTGGACGCTCCACCAATCACAGAGCGCCACCGGCTTATATAAGCGCCTGGCCGGAGTCGGGCGGCATTGCACGACTTGCTCTTTGGATTTTGAGTCTCTCTTCCTCTCGCAGTTCCTGCCTCTGGCCATGTCGGAAACCGCGCCTGCCGAGACGGCTGCCCCGGCGCCGGTGGAGAAGTCACCTGCCAAGAAGAAGGCGACCAAGAAAGCTGCGGGCGGTGGCGCGGCGAAACGCAAGGCCACCGGCCCCCCGGTGTCAGAGCTGATCACCAAGGCGGTCGCCGCCTCCAAGGAGCGCAACGGCCTCTCCCTGGCCGCGCTCAAGAAGGCGCTGGCGGCCGCCGGCTACGACGTGGAGAAGAACAACAGCCGCATCAAGCTGGGCCTCAAGAGCCTGGTGAGCAAGGGCACCCTGGTGCAGACCAAGGGCACCGGCGCCTCGGGCTCGTTCAAGCTCAACAAGAAGGCGGCCTCCGGGGAGGCCAAGCCTAAAGCCAAGAAGGCGGGCGCGGCGAAGGCCAAGAAGCCCTCCGGGGCCACCCCCAAAAAGCCAAAGAAGGCTGCGGGAGCCAAGAAGGCGGTGAAGAAAACTCCGAAGAAGGCGAAGAAGCCCGCGGCTGCCGGCGTCAAGAAGGTGGCCAAGAGCCCCAAGAAGGCCAAGGCCGCCGCCAAGCCCAAGAAGGCGGCGAAGAGCCCAGCCAAGCCCAAGGCTGTGAAGCCGAAGGCGGCCAAGCCCAAAGCCGCCAAGCCCAAGGCAGCGAAGCCCAAGGCTGCCAAGGCGAAGAAAGCGGCCCCGAAAAAGAAGTAGGAAGTTGGCCTTTGAGAAGGCAGCATAACCCCAAAGGCTCTTTTCAGAGCCACCCAGAGGTTTCTGAAAACAGCTGTACGCTCAGGTCGAACCCTTATTATTCTTGAACAACTGCGTCCGCCAACACTGCGGGTTAAGTTAAACCCTGCATCTGCTCGAGCCTTTCCCCTTTTCAGTTTCTCTCGATTTCACTTGCAAAGGAACGAGTGGGGGACTGAATTTCATTCAGCCCCTTGTGCGGATTACTTAATGGGTCGATCGCCCGTAGGGGCTGTACTTGCAGCGTCTATAAAAATGTGGGTTACAAAAGGAAAGTGTTTGCCTTTTTAAAAAGCCCGCGCAACATCCCCTAATTGGTTCTTTTCCTGGTGATCCTTGCAGGCAGGAGGATCTGATTGGTACACACGTATTGAGCGCAGATGGGCTGGGCTTTAATAAAAGTTCAGTGGCGTAGACCCTTAACTACTGTCCCAGCTCTTTCCCGGAAATAGTGAGTGGCTCTGAAAAGAGCCTTTGGTTTGTTTGCAAGTTGCTAGAGAGACCTTATTTGCCCTTGGCCTTGTGGTGGCTCTCGGTCTTCTTGGGCAGCAGCACGGCCTGGATGTTGGGCAGGACGCCGCCCTGCGCGATGGTGACGCGGCCCAGCAGCTTGTTGAGCTCCTCGTCGTTGCGGATGGCCAGCTGCAGGTGGCGCGGGATGATGCGCGTCTTCTTGTTGTCGCGGGCCGCGTTGCCCGCCAGCTCCAGGATCTCGGCCGCCAGGTACACCGGCGAGCCGGCCCCGACCCGCTCGGCGTAGTTGCCCTTGCGAAGCAGGCGGTGCACGCGGCCCACCGGGAACTGCAGCCCGGCCCGCGACGAGCGCGTCTTGGCCTTGGCGCGAGCCTTGCCGCCCTGCTTCCCGCGTCCAGACATAACGACAAGAAGCAACTCACCAGGGACTAGAATGTGGGTGTGTAGGATGGGACACAGCTTCACTACTTATAGTCCTCACGCGGCGCCAAAATAAAGCTGTCCCATTGGCTAAAATTCCAGTCTTATTTTAGCCAATGGAATCCTGGCTTTTCAAATACACTTATTTTGATTGGATACAACCACATGATGCCCTCTAGAATTTACCACCAATTAGACACCCGGTTTGTTTAATTTTCTTCGCGTGAGAAGCTGTGCATAAAGAGAACCTAGAGACCCTCACTTTTTCTCCAGTCTTTCGGCTTGGGGGGCGGGGGTGGTTCCTGTGCTCCGTAACAAGACCAGTCAAGGCTAACAAGCTGTGAACAGAGGCACGTAGAGCCCCCTTCTCATTTTCTCTCTTATTCTCAAGCCCTTCAGCAACTACTCCCGGCCCTGCCTGAGCCAGCCAAGTCCGCTCCCGCCCCGAAGGAGGGCTCCAAGGAGGCGGTGACCGAGGCGCCGAAGGACGGCAAGAGGCGCTAGCGCAGCCGCCGGGAGATCGCGCCCCCCGCCCCCGCCCCGTGTACGTGTACAAGGTGCCTCCAAGGTAGGGGTCAGACGCCCCCACGGGCTTTCTTTCACAGCCATCTACGCTTTCCAAAACCACTAGTGCCCATTTTATCCCGATTTAGAGGTAGGCAAATGCAATTTTTAATCTGAAGGCTTTGGTCCGTGCTTCTTACTTTGTGCAAAAGCTACATTTTGGCCTTGTGTTTCCAATAAGATCTAAAGTTGTTGTTTTTTTATTATTCTCACAAACATCAGACACCCCAAAATGATTTCATTGTGAGTATTTCACTTAACATCTAAATTCTCACACCAAGAATCACTCGTTCGGTTAATTAGTGAGAAAATTTTAAATTACGACGAGAAGAAAGAATATCTTTCAGCTTCTAGTGAAAATCTTAACTGGCTGAACATCTATTTCTCTCCCCTTACGGAATACCACCGTTTATCAGTATCTCCCCTGTCTCCCCTCCCCCTTCCCATTGGAAGGCTCTGAATCACATAAATTGGTTTAAAGGAAACTTACCAAGTGACAGTCCCTTTAACATTCCTTACGGTCAATGCTGAGTACGGACCTTTCTGCTACCTCTCATTGTAGGCCTACGTTTTCACCAAGTAACCTAAATGGTGTTGGGATAAAGATGGGGACAGAGAGGAAATTGAGAACCTAAATTAATCAACTCCGTTCCCCCCTTAAGGATGAGGATTGCTAATCCAGGCACTACTTTCAGACTTGAATTTTTCTAGGGGTCACTTTTTGCATGTTTTCCTGGGTATACCTTCCAAGGTACACCTCACTCCACCCCATTTTTCCTAGTGAAGTTCCAGAAAGGTGCATACTGAGCCTGCCTCCTTTATCTCACATTGTAATGCCCTCTTTTCCGGAACCCGTGTCTGTTCGTTGTGATTTTCACGTAGGCAACTCCCATTTTACGGCAACATACATATTTTATGAGAAATAGTTATAGTTTTCCAGAATAACGAAATTCAGGAAGAAGAGTGGAATTGTGTTTACATTTTGGAAATATCTTTAATTTCTGGCTTAATAGAAGAAAGCTAGATTCATGTACAGTATTTGTTTCTGCAGTCAATCTATTGCAATATGATTGTCAAATGAAAGTGAGAGTGGAAAAGTTAAGTAAGTTTCAGTATTACACAAATAAATTTAGTCTCACACACCCACCAGAAGGGTCTCAGAGACCCCCATGTGTCCCCAGATCATATTTTGAGAATCACTGCCTTTAGGACAAGAAGACATTTCATTTGTTTATTTCATAACCATCCTGTTGGCGGTAGCATTGGGGATACCCTTGGCAGGAGCTGATACACAGAATAATTTGAGAAGGCCTTGTGAATCGGTCTGCATGCCCAATGATGGCTGTCATTAAAATGAAATCCGCTCTCCTGAAATGAAATTTCAGTGAATAAAAAGGCAGGGAGCTCTTTTTTTTAGCCTTGATCTACAGCGTTTTCATTTTTTTCTTAACTAGGCTCCACGCCCAATGCGGGGCTTGAACTCCTGACCCTGAGATTGAGTCACATGCTGTACCAACTGAGTGAGCCAGGTGCCAGTTTGTTTAATTTTAATTCTCCAATTAGCACGGTTTAAACATGATTCTTTCATACTTTCTTGCCTCCCCTCTCTTTTTACTGTTACTGTTAGTCCGGACATCTAAGATCGGCCTTACTTTCAGTCAGTAATGTCTTGGACGCATTAACTGAAAACTTGTAATCACTACCTCTTCCAGGGCTTCTGGTGAATAAAGAGAGACCAAAATCTCCACTCTAGGGCTTACGTTGGGTGGTTAGTTCTCTGTGACCACTGGCGCACCTGCCTGACTCCAGAGCCTCAAGAACACTTCAGTGGCGGATGCTGTTTTCAAAGGCCAAGTGCATATTACACTCTTCTCTGACAGTCCTTTATCTTGGTCCAGAATAATTTTTTTTTTTTTTTAAACTCTAACTCACTTTTCTTCCTGAGCTAATTGCTTTATTCTTCTCTGCCAATATAAGACATCACCTTATCAAGGTTAATTTACCAGATTTGGGGTCTCGATCTAAATAAAGAGTTTCAAAAAACAATATAATTACAGATTTTAGAAAAGACACAATGGACTCCTATCCAGGTATGTGTTAAAATACTCATGGGGCGCCTGGGTGCTCAGATGGTTGAGCATCGGACTTTCACTCAGGTCATGATCTCACGGCCTGAGTTCGAGCACCGTGCTGACAGCTCAGAACCTGGAGCCTGCTTCAGATTCCGTGTCTCCCTCTCTCTCTGCCCCTCCCCTGCCCGTGCTCTGTCTCTCTGGCTCTCAAAAATAAATAAACATAGACAAAGTTTTGTAAAGAATACTCATAATAAATTAGTAATTTTAATATTCCACCTTGAACTTCTGAAAGAATTAATATAGTCCACAGAATAAATATGAGGATGCTGTCCGTGTGCTCTCTCTGCACATGTAGCCCCAAATGGTTCTCCCAGTCATTATCAGCTGCATGCCACTTCTTTGAAAAGAATACGAAGTTTTAATTTTTCTAACATTCTTACCCCAAGAGAGTACTAAAAAAATAAGGGGTCAGCAATTGTCCAGTTTCTGATTATTCCATTAATTCCATTAGATACAATATAAATGAAAAAATATAAAAATGTGTTATGTATAATTTTGTTTTAGGGTGTGTACGTATATATGTATGTGTATAGTGTATTTGGGCTTACAGAGTATATAGCTAAGATGTCAGGATTGCATCTATATGTATTTTCCATCTCACTGCTGTTCTGTGCTGGGAGCATGAAATAATCAAAAACCAGATAGCCAATGCTTTTGAATTTTTTGGAATCCTCTTGGAGTAAAAGCATTGGAGAAATTAAAATAGAATTTATTTTAGCGTGTGTATAAATAATACATTTATGTATGTGACATACATGAACAAATACATATATACATGTACACACACTCATGGTATAATTATTTTAGTTGCACGCAGTATTAAGTTTCAGTTGCTTGGAGACAAATATAAATAATTGTATTTGGCCAAACACAAATGTATTAACACTTGCAGGATACCTTAACGTTCTATTACTTTATTTTCAAGATGTGAGTTTAACATGTTGGTGGTGGAATTAAATTAAAAAGCTACAGAACAATCACATTAATACCAAGAATTGTTTTTTAATTTTGTTTAATGTTTACTTATTTTTGAGATGAAGAGAGAGACAGAGTGTGAGCAGGGGAGGGGCAGAGAGAGAGGGAGACTCAGAATCCAAAGCAGGCTCCAGGCTCTGAGCTGTCAGCACAGAGCCCGACGCGGGTCTTGAACTCAGGAACAATGAGATGGTGACCTGAGCCAAGTCGGACTCTTAACCAACTGAGCCACCCAGGTGCCCCAAGAATTAATTTTAAAAATCCAGTGTTACATTTATACAATGCTACCCCTCAAATTTGAGTGCAATAATTTTTTATAGTTCCATGTTCTCAAAATACATTCACAAGAACCAACTAGTAAAAAACACTAGTATGTTTGGATTAGAACATGTTTTAGGTACAGCTCCATATTCACATCATATGCACATATTTCTAATGTTAATTGGGGTGT